ATCATTTTAAGATTTCCTAACTTATAACCAAGACTGAATATCGTTTGGATATATTTAATGAAACGTTTCTTTTCCTGTTACCATGTGACTAGAATATCTATATACGATTATGCAGCTTGAGAATGATATCTCTGAAAGGAATGATTCGTCACTAAACATCTTTCATTTTAATTACATCCGATGGAACTCAGTAATATGCTAAAGAGAAGTTGCCACTGATTTTCCGTACGTTAGCTCCTATATGATATGTTGATGACGAGTCCGTTTATTGAAACCATATATTTTATAGGAGCTGTTTTGATGCATTGCTTAATGTACGGAACTATCTACAGTGTATAGCCTCGTAATTTTTATGTTGTACTACCTTCTAGAATCGTTTATGATTTTCTTTGTGGTTAAGATGAAAATTTATATTAACTTTTTGACAACAAGATATTTATTGCAAATGAATGCCTTGCCAATAGGTATTTATTTTGGGAGAAAACTTCTATAGTGTTGCTTGTATGGAAGTAACTAAACTGAGGATAACATATAGAAGGTATGTCCCATATAGTCGGCTTTTTTACTAGCAGAAAATAATAAAATTAACGGAAGGAATGTCTGAACATCAATTATATTAGCAATAACTCTGTGCAATTTACTTAGGTCAGCTTTCGTAAAACAATGTACAGTTAAGTAATGCTGTGTTAAGGTAAAGCATCATTCACCTCATTCTCACTGGCAAAAGTATTCATAACATCTTGATCACTACCATTGCAGACAACACGTAGATAGCCTTCTTGAAACGTCCAAGTGATACTTGGGATATGAGTTCTGATATTCATGGAAGGAAAATTAATGTCTAACAAGACGTTGATGGTTCCCAAATTTGGTTGTATTTGATTATGCTTCTTATAAAATTTCCCGTTGCTATACAGGGTCGAACTGTTCAAAATCTGTTAGCAGATGGGCCGCTACGCGGATGCCTCGATACTGCTGATTATTCATGATGTTGTATGGATTTCGGTGACTGGTAGAGGAACTGATGACGCACGTTTCGTCTTATTTGGGACTCGTCAGATGAGTGCACCTGCACCACAGTGCGGAGTGTTGTCTTCACAGAGGCTCGAACCCAGTAACCTTCACTTCCAATTCCAGAGAGTTATCCACTAAGCCACTGTCTTACTGGCGTTCTGCGTTCTTCTGCTAGTCAATATAGTTATTTCATTACTTCAAAAAACATAATTCTGTAGTCAGATAAAATTTAAAAAGTTAGATTTTAAAATACAAAGTAATAATATATAACGGATGGTTGCGGTTTGAGAATGTAATCAAACTATAAATATGGATTTCAAGCTATGTTTATCGCGATTCCAGAACTGGACACTCTATGCCGAAAATGTGATGATATTAGGACAGACGAAAAGATCGATAACTCGTATGCAGTTAGATTGGGGTATTTTCGAAGATTTCACGACAATTAGTTCTGTCTTATGCTGGTCAATCAGTTAAACCAGTAGCAAACAAAATAAATGGGCCTAATATCGTAAGATTAAGTTGGTTGTTTAATAAGTAAGGAAAGTATTGTGAGTTAAGCTAGGTTAGCTGAAATCATTCGATATGAATTAAAGGTGATGCAACTAAATAAGAGTGAGGGAATAAACATGTCGGGTTATTAAAGAGCAAAGTAATCAAATAACAGTGAAGGAGATTTACTAAGGCAGACAGAGGTTGACTTTGGCCCCTTTTTGAAAACAGAATTCAGGTTTGAGAAGTTTGATGGCTACGGTTTCAGCAAACTTCAGAAAAGTTGAGCTTATTTGTTGACAGTATTATGAGGGAATTAAGGACGTTCGATTGATGTTCAGTGTCAATTAGATGTCAAGTGATCTTGCTGTTCAGAGTGTTACTTTCCCTTGTTACTTAGCTATTGAAAAGATGTTTGAGAAATCTAAGATATATCTTACTTTCTTTTCTTCTAATGTATCTACTTCGGCAGCTACACATAAATTGATATACATATTTGAAGGTAACATAGAAAAAACATCTTTTGACCGATGACTAAACTAAGGAGGAATCAATCAGTCAGTATCAACATAGGACCAGGCATTACTGCGTAACGGTCCGAGTTGCCACACCTCATGTCAGCACATCAAGTAGAGAGGTAGTGAGGTGAAGGATGAAGGTAAGAGAATGCAGTCAAAATAAATATAAAGCATGAGAAGAAAGAAAGGAGGAAGGACAAAATGGTGAGATTCGATACAGTGTCGTTAAGATGAGGATAATGTGTGTATACATCTGCGCCACTGACATCGGTTCTGAGCCATTTCACCTACAGTCTCCAACCGCTCACTCGTTCCTCTTGTCCTGCGGACCACAACCACCTAGTCTGCATCGTCCTACATGGCTTAAACCAACAGTCAGAGACTTCATACATTGGTGCCATGTTTTAGTCTGGCCACCTCGGGCCTTTTTCCAGCCTGGACCCACCTCAGCCAACATTGTGTGACGAGGCAATCGATGACTAGGCATACGTAGTACGTGTCCCAACCATCTCAGTCGATGAAGGTTCACAACCTCGTCGACTGACTTACCTCTTCTCCCTAAAACTCTACACCTGACTTCTGCATTACTCACGTGGTGACACCACGGAATACCTTCTATACTACGAAGGCAACGGCGGTCAAACACTTGAGGTCTTATATCTTCCACTTTCAATGGCCATGTTTCACAGCCATACAGGAGAACAGAGCGGACTGCTGTGCAGTACACGCGACCCTTAATAGAAAAACGGATATCATGGCGGCGCCATAGGTGGCGTAAATTGGCAAAAGCCAATCGAGCCTTTTGTATCCGTGCAGAGATTTCATCGACAACTAACTCACCAGGGCTGATTCTACTTCCCAGGTAAGGGAAGTGGTTGACACACTCAGTCACTTTACCCTCTGTTGTTAGCCGCTGCACCGTTTGGTATGCAGGAATTAATCTGGCTTCAGAAAACGTTCCAGTCAGTGACCTTTTCAGTCGTCTGGTAATATTTCCTGCACTATCATCACTTTTGAGAATTAGATGAAAGAATAGAAGCTTTTTACTTGGTTTAATTTTTTTCTACTATTTGTACTCCGTTTTTCCACATCTGTTGATAAGTGCTTGTGAATATCCATTGTCCCATTGGCATCTTTCAAGTGTTCGCAAGTTTTCCTCACCGAAACTTACCGTTTTTATTCTGTGAAATAGGGTTTTAGCCAATCCCTATTTACAGTTAGTTGGGCGAAAGCTATTAAGATTCAGGTAGATATCATTCCACTTACTCTTTTGATGAATGAGACTTTGGAGAGTACCAGTTAACGCATGTTGTAGGACAGTACCCAGAAATTCGGACTTTCTATTATTTTCGTATCACATGGTAGATTCAATATTGTTATAAACCTTATTAAAAGGTCCTAAGAAATTAGATTCACTGCTCAAAACATTACAATCAACAGAAGTTTCGTCGACGTACTCGGTATAAAATGTCGTTACACCGACTGGATCTTTAAGTTTAGTGTTCTCTCGATTTGTTATGGAGTTTTCTGCCAATATGAGGCCTTATGAGCACCCCATAGCTACCTGGTCAGTTTTTCAGTAATGTTCCTTGTTAAATAGGAACTAAATATCTATGGTACATGTTAGTAAAAGACATCTGAACTCTGTTACTGACACATGAAATTTTTAGTTTTTACATAGCCTAGATGGTTCCTCCTTTCCAGTGAAAATATCCAGTTACGAACATAACTGAAAGAGGAGTATCCGAGACTTGGTAGATATTACTACCTTACTAATCAGTTAGTAAAATGGTCTGAAAATCTGGTTAACTCGTGTATAATTTTGGTGTTTTTCAACCTATAATAAATTTTCATTCAATGTTTATAATCAGTTGACGGGAAACAATGCATCTGGCCTCTTGCTTACTTCCAGTCACTATTAACACGTATCTGCAGTTATGAGGAGATCGGTGTTCTACTAGTAACCGAAACCTGAATCACTCATTGTCACAATATACTACTCTACCGATACGCGACTCATGTCACATTGTAAATTGTTTGACATATCTCAGATAGTGCCGCGCTATAAATATTTTACAACCATACGAGTTACTGTCTAATATCATCAGCCTCTGTACCTTTGTTTTTCATTTGTGTCGTTGTAGCGCTATCATAAGATATTTTTTCGTCTACAGATTCAGTTAGAAAAGGGAATAACTTGTTTTAACCAGAGTGTTGTTTAACCGCTAACTCTATTTATCCACAAATTCATAAAGCAGCACTAAGATGGAGTGTTTAATCGTAATAAGATAGGAATAATGGCTATTTTTATTGAACTTTAAGGTAAGTTCTTAGCCCAATAACTTAATTACTGGTAAAAGCCATTCTTCAGCATCGTAAACAGAAATACACAGAATCAACTGAAGTAGCGTGGAGTTATTTTATCTGTAAGATAGTATTCATCACAAACTTACATCAGCTAGAGAACTAGTGAAAACCTGGGGTCATTAGACAGCTTCTACGTCCTAGTATGGCACTCCTCAAATGTTAGCACTCACGACACCACCAGAGATCGAACGTATGACCTTCGGGTTTCATGGTGAACACACTAACCATGCAGCCACCCAATCGCAGTTCCTATTTCTTTCAATCTGAGATATAGTGTGACTATCCACCAAAGTCTTTTGTTGGCATCCGCTTCAGTTATGACTTCCTTGACCCTACTGATCACTGACTTCTCATAAGAACCTGGTGAGGATTTATGTGTAATTTAGCTTGTGATTCGTGGGGAATTATTTATTTCAAGGTAGTGTATACCAAGGATTAATGGTCAGTCATGAAAATCACCTTGAAACAAAATACCTATAATCCTCAAACTATTTTATTTGTGATAATTTTCAGTGCCTATTGACTTGATGTTAATATTACTCTTATTGCATGATATATTCAATCAGTAGTCATGTTTCTCAGCAATAAATTTTTACTTGTCTTTTACAGCATATTTTTCAATCATCTTCAGAATGATGTTAATTAATTCTAGTTTATTTTCAATTTCGAGTTGTACCATTATACAAAAGGATTATAATTCATCTCAATTAACTGCTGAATATTATCTTTCAGAGTTGTAAGTTCCTGTTTATGAATAGAGATTTGTCAGCTTGTCTACTTTATTTATTTATTTCAGCTTTATTAGTCTATTTGTTATGAAATAACATATATGTTGTATTTCTCTCATCTAAACGTTCGCCTACTTATAAAAATGATTTATTACCAATAATTCTATAAATGCCTTCTAAGTGGTTAATTTTCTTGACTTGTGTTTTGTTTATCAAGAACTCGGATCACTTTCTGTTAAGGACATAAGAAGCAATAAATTTTAACGTTTTCCTCATTCTCATAAACTGGAAAATTTATGTAGAACAGAAGGATTCGGTTTAAAGAACATTGTTGCTTGTTGTGTTGTTACAAAACAACACTCAAACTCAGCTAGCTGTCTAGTACAAAACAGTAGTCTTACCAGTCTTATTTAGGTTTAGTTTATTCGGTGGGTAGCAGTGAAATTAAGGACTTACGTTCCATCGGATTAACGTGCCTGGACCCTAGTGGTTGATAGTGTTCTCAATAAGACTCGAACCACTCAGCCATTGAGATGCGAGAGTCACCCTTTGTACAACTGGTAATAATAACTAACATTTTCAGGTTTCAGGTTGATATTTATCAAGGAGTGACATCATTTAAAGAGCTGTCGAAAACGTGTGCTCACCAAAAGCCGTTTTGTCCTAGTGTGAAACTCCTCAGCCTTGTGCACCGTGACCTCCTCAGAGATCGAAGTCAGGATCTTCAGGTTCCAGGGCTAGCACGTTGCCACTAAGCCAGTGGGTCGGCATCCAGTATTCCACATTTCTTAATTCTCTCAGTTCAAGATATAGCACGACCTCCATCCAATGCCATCGTTGAGTAACTTTTCTCACGTCTTTAAGGTTTATTAAATTTGTTTCATTATCCACGAGAAGACAGTATACGAAGTGAATTACCCGATAAATTAGTTTGAAAGACGAAAGTGTGTGACAATTCAGAGATTTCCTAATATTAATGGAAGTTGTATAGGTTAGCAGTCAGAAATACTTTTCATCATATTATTGAAGCAAACATTAGGAACTTGCAGGTTGTAGAACGTTGGTTTAGCGAAAAGCCGCTTGAGTCATAGGGTGTCACAGGGAATTCACAGATGAAAGCTGTACTTCTTTACTTTTTTGTCATTACGAAGCAAAGTGATCAGGCGGCAAAAATTTACCTACAACCTTAGTGAAGGTATGTTTGGAACAGCAATACTATATAGTGGGATGCTTTTTCTTTAAATGACCACAGAAAATCATATATAACATTACTGTTGGGAAGAATGAACTAAGTTAAGTTTACGGAAAGGCAACTCGTACAGAATACATAGTGAAGTCAAACAGCAGCTAGTCAATAAATGATTAGAAGATGTTTTTAAGAGAAGTTTTAGAATAAAGGGAACTCTCTGTTGTACAACAGATTCTAAAACAGGAGGAAAACAATTTATTTAAACAATTTCAACTCAGAGGATATTCAGAAACCACGAAGAATTTCTATGTCAAAATTCAACAAAATGCAGCTTAAAAATAAACTGAGTAATGAAAAGTAATCATTTCATATACCCACTAAACAATACCGTTTTTCTGTGCGACGTATCAAAAAAACAATATGGAGTTATATTAGAGTATGTTATATTCATTATTTGATATGGCACACAGTCAAATGGTATTATTTATAGGATAGCGTCTCGAGCATAATCTGTCGTCCACAGTCATATCAAAGTAATGACAAAGTTTTCCTGTTTGTTTTGTACTCCTGTATTGCCTTTATCAAGCACATAGATCAAACTATCAAGATAGGGTCAGTCAGGTCAGGACATGAACTTATCTATATTTTTTGATTGATGGATATGTAACCTTAATAAAAACTCAGGCATTGCTATGCCAACGCTATCGCACAATCCCACAATAAATGAAGAAAATCAGCGAATAAATTTGTTTGAATGCTATCGTTTGTATTACAGCGTCGTTGACTGGACCGAATTGTTCGATCTATATTGACATATGGGCTCGTGGACGGATGCTTCCATATTACCTGTGTTTTAATTCTAGTAATGATGGATATTCATCATTAATAAAATAAACTTGTTGTCTAAAATATTTTCTTTAAAAACAGAACATATAAATGTAACTAGTGTGCACATTTATTGGCGGATAATGGAAATATTTGTCGATCGATAACGTCTGAGTAGGTTATGACCAGGAAGATAATGTTGGAATGTAAGTTGTACAGGAACTATGAAAATATTTGATAAGGTAAATAAGTTAGTATGGATTGAAATCAACAGTCAACGAACTCATAAAGAAATCAGTATACGACTGATTGGGAAATTAATAACTGCGATAAAAGCGTTTACCTAACAACAATATGAAAATCAAACGGTTAGTTAAGCTTAAGAATTAGGGAATCCATTAAATCAGGGAGAGAACACGGAGAGTAAACAGCAAAGTTGATTCTTTCAAAATCATTCTCATTTCCATTTTGGATGGTCAGAGCTTCAGCAGTGCAAAGTGAAAGTCTTTCGATAACATTTAGAATATTTTGTTGTATTTTGCGGGTTGTTGCAAATGAATCTTAAGGCATTGCCTCTGCGGTTGACCAAATTTTGCAATGTGGAGATATCGATAGATTTTAGCCACCGTTAGTGAGTCATACTTGAAATCTCTGACGTCGACAATGGACAATTTGTTTCAGCGTAATCAGCTCTACAGGAGCGATTGGATTGATATATGCACATGAAAATGTCTGGGAGTGACAGTTTGTCCATTAAACGGATACTCACCACCAAATGACTTGATGAGTTGCTCTTTTGGTAACCCTTTGTCAGTCTACATTTGAGTACCAATAAATTTTTACGCTATTTATGATTAAATGTAGTTCTGCAGCGTCTGAGGAAGACATCACCGAGGAAAATGTATTGACCGAAATTTTTCTTCTTTTCTGACTCAGTGGAAATACTTTAATCTCACAGTAGAATGAGACAAAACAACAGTCCAAAGAATCAATATTGTAGGCATGAAAAAAAGGCTGATCACATAGTCTCTGTTCTTCGAATGAATACCTAACTTGTGAAATAGATATAACTCAACTCCAGTCCCAGATATTCGAAGGATTAGACTACCATTAAAGTAGAAGAATAAAAGACAATGAAGCTTTATAAAGCAAACTACAAAGCTACAGGATCGGTTTGGTGTTATTTTAAATAATAGACCATCCTCGGAAAGTCAACTAGTAAATACTCTAGTATCGCTGTATATCGTATTCAATAAATACATTCATTATGGGATCACACTCTTCCACGGTTTCCAAATTTCACCCCTCTAGTCATTACTTATGTCAAGAATATTTTGTCAGCTAATAAACTACCCTCATTATCAAAATTTAAGTCAAAATGGTTTATGTCTAACGAAAGATCCGGTATAGAAGAAAGAGATATGAACATCCTACTTAGAAAGATGAAGTTATGACTGGAGTTAGACATTCTGGTCTATCTAGTGTTGGCTTCAGGAAGAACCAGTCATGTGCGAATGAAATTACAATGCTACGCCACGCATCATCCTATAATGGAGGATAGAATGGCAGTCAACTCAACTCAACACCAACTTCATCGACTTTGAAAAGGACTTCAATAGCATCGATCTAGAAGCAATTTGGCAGGCAGCTGCTTCAACACTACGGAGTACCATGTACCTTTATCAACCTCATTCAACACCTATATGAAGACAACATGCCAAGTGATTCACAATGGAAAGTTCAGTGATGTCTTTGAGGTGAAGACAGGAAGGAGTCAGACAAGGCTGTCGCCTATTATCACTGATGATCTTCCTGATTGTGGTGGACTGGAACAACATGCAACAGACAACTATGAGTAGCAGGAAGCTGGGCATATGCTGGCTGGATCGATGAAAAGAGCCCAGAAGATTTGGATTTGGCCGATGATTTATGTCTGTCTTGTCGCACAAACTCGGAGATCTACAGGCAAAAAGCAACAAGCTGGTAGAAGAGGCAGCGAAAACAGGGCTTCAGGTGAACATAGATAAGACAGATGCGATGAAGATACCCAACCAACAACAGCATCAACAACAAGCACCAATCACCATCAACTGGTGAAATCTAAGGGAAGTTGCCTCTCTCACCTACCTACCTACCTACCTACCTGGGCAAGGGTAAGACAACATATCTGTTACTATCAAAGAAATAGGCATATCAAACTTGATTATGAAGTAATTCTAGTAACTACTAAGAAACATAGAACGAGCAGTCATAACGGTCAGACCCAGGAACAACTTCTGTTTAGTAATCCGGTTGGTTGTGGCTAGCTGGGGAATTCAGGACGCATGTTTCGTTTTGTTCGGGACTCGTCAGCTGGGTGTACATGTACTCCAGTGAATGATGTCTTTCTCACTGAAACTCGAACCTCGTAACCATCGCTTCAAACACCAAAGCGCTATCCACTGGGCCACGGAGAAACGATAATTACTTCCTGTACAACGGGTATTAGTTATTGCTATTTATCAATGTACTTGTAAGTCTCCTTTGTTTTATTGGATTACATTGTTCGACTCTATTGGCATATGGGTTCCTATGCGGATGTCACGAGAAGTTGAACAACTCGATCCAATAAAACAACGGAGACTTACAAGTACATAGATAAGTAGTAATAATCTTCGATTTAGCTGACCTAAGAAACATTGTTACTAGCTATAAAATACAAGAGCTGATATGCATAAAAATGCAGAGATAAAAATCAATAAATACGCAAGATATTCATTCATCTTCTTTAACTGTTGATTTTAACTTGATTGCAATATATGCTACCATAAACCAGTAGAATAAACTGTAAAGACAGACAATAAGCAGATTTTGAAGACTAATCGACGCTTGACTTAGTTGAAAACCAACAATAATAAGCTTGGAAACGCTACTTTGACAAGTTAGCAGATACAGTATCGTAACATACAGTTAAAATAACACCTATCATTGTTATTCAATTCATAGATGATGCGGAAAATTCTCACTCATTCTTCTGTGAAAAGGGTTTAAAAATTCAGTCAACTGTTACTTGTATTAAAAGTATCACTATGCAGTAAGTAACATTTCTATAAAATAAGTATTATCTAGGTAACTAACATCACATAGCTTTATAACAAAGTGCCTATAATCTTTTGTAAGTTGGGATTAACAATTTATACTGTTAAAGTGTCTTTTTTGCTGACGTTATTCATAGAATTGACTTCCATTTGATAACACGTCTCCTCTTCAGTAGGTTTTTTAATACTTAAATAATATGTACTGGTTGAAATATTTAAACGTTACAAGAATAACAGAATTAACGAAATAAAATGAGTTAACTCTGTTTTACTTTTTAGCAGTAGCTACAAAACGTTTAAGATTGCATTAACCAGTGCTTAAAAACTCCTGTTGATCTGACTCCGCTTAAACTGTCTAACAGAGGTTCGAATACTGTTTCAAGATCTGTTTCATGATAAATCGCAAATCTAAGAGTGAATACCTGGACTAAATCTTGTTGAAACCACTTCAGCTTTTCAAGATCATACTACACATTCATATTTCTTCTGTGGCGACATTTAACAACAGTTTCATTTGACACTGATTTTTAACTTGTTAATTTTTCATCAGATACCTAATGAGGCGCTTATAGTTAGTAAGAGAGAAAAAAATGTTATGTCTGAGATGGTAACATTGGGGCTTTATGTGAAGTTAGTGGAACATGTTTAGTAAGATAATGCAAATATTGACGACCTTGCCTATCACATTTTTGACATACGAAGATGACATGTCACGTAGGAAATGTTAAGCATTTGTAAGACTTCAACATTTTGGTCATTGTTTGGAATTTGTCTAACCGATGGAGACAGATGAATTTAGATTTCACTTCGATTGAACAATTTTGATAATTGGTCTTTAAAATAGATTGTTTGTGTTCTGTATCTGTGTAAATGGAGTACAGAAAATGTGAAATATTTAAGATTATTAACCATATTGTTCATTTGAAAGCTTGAAGATTTACTTCTAGTATATGAGACGAAAACATATTACATAGTATTCCACTCTGGGAAATAGTGAATATTTTTACCACAGTGTATCAACAAATTACTAGCATAATCATTATCTTGTCTCGAAAGAGGTTTTATCCACATATTTGGCTTCTAGTGTCAATTCAATGTCATTTTCAGCTCCGTTTAACTGGAAAGTGACATAACATTCAGAACTATCGGAATGAGAGAAATGTTTTTGAAGCTTGAAGATACTAGCCCTTTAATTGTGTCATCGAATCGGTGACTTAATTATTATTAGGCTGCTGGAAAAATATTACGACTGAGGTCTTTCACTTCTGCAGGATTATCTGTGTTATCAGTTGACTGTATTCAAATAGAATGCGACTCATGAGAGTGAAACAACTGACTTGAGATTAGAAATATATTTGTGGTAGTTTATATACTCTTTTTCTAATCATTTCTCTCTACTAGCGGTTGTTACAAAACACAACATCACAAAGAACTTGTTTTGATTCTATTACCATTTCCTTCTTTTCTGAAGAGCATAAGCTGCATGTGAATGACGGTTCTTGATAATTCGGAAAAACATTCAATACAGATTATTCTTATCCTTATGATAGGCAACCATTTCAGAAGCATATCTGTTTATGCTATTTTAATTACAGTCGGTAAAGAAGAAAGCAAACATTTAGATGTATATATCATAACAATTTGCTGAATGAGGCTTACGATCAAAACTTACTTCTCATTTAAAAAATGTAAATAAAAAGGGTATTATTTTTATTAGATATGAATGAAATTCAGGCTAACAGGGAAATATAACTGTAGATCATTTTTGGATGGACAGTAGAGTCATACCGCCTTCTTATGGCTTTTGAAGTCGTTGGTAGTGACAGTTCACTTGATGGTAGCTAGCAGGGGAATCCAAGATGCGTGTTTCGGTCCATGTACCTGAATCTCAGTGACTCATAGTATTCCCACCGAGACTCGATTCCGAGGCAGATTGCTTCAAATACCTAAGTTCAATCCGGACACGACAGCTACCTCATTTGCGATGAGTACCACTTATTGCTTATTGATACTCATAATTTCCCGCTGATATGCCGGACTAAATTGCGGTGTCGCAGCATCCGCATATAAGCCTATCCGGTAACAGAGATGAAGCAATTCTACCCGGCATTTTTACATAAACTTGCAACTACCAGTCAACAGTAACCGGCAATGGATTTTAACGAAGAGTAATTAGCATTCCAATATGAACTGCATGTAGCTGGTTTTCTAGAAAGATAAACTAGTCAGTTTTAATGCGTCATCAGGATTTAAAATACCCTTCCATGGACAAATAAAGTAATTGTATAACTCGGCGCCTATTCAAAATTTATTTGTATGCTATTTAGATATGTCGAAGAAGAAGAATAAAGTAACTGATTTTGTACCAATGTAATGATAGTCCCACTTGTATTTTAGTCCCCAAAACACAAAACAGAAAAGGGGCCAGGTGTCTATCAACATTAATATTACATCAGGAATGAGGCAACTACGCTATATTTTACAACTACATGCTTCTATTCATTGAAGAATCACTTATACTATACAGCTGTGAAATAGTACAACTATATGTCCTTTAAATATTAGTTATGGCTTGTATTAATGCTAGTTCAGACTTATGTAAACATAAATAAGTTTCAGCTTCTTGCCTTCGACTGTTTCTTTGTCAGAAACACAAATGTTTCTGATGTGGGCAGTATTAATCATGTTGTTTTATTAACTAGCTCAGTAACCTAGACATTGTAACTGTTGTCAATAAATATTCCTAATGCTGATCAAACTGTTGATCTTTTATTGACCATAAAATAGAAACAATACACAATATCCTCAGGATCATACAGAAGATTTTTATCAAGTGACTAACCTCAAAAATCAAAGTAATATATGTGGTGAGTATTCAGTGCTTTTGTATATTTCTATGCTAATTGAGAACATAGTAATATCTTTATTTTGTAAATAGATTTTTACTTTCTTAAAATGACCTGATATCATTCACATTCTCTGTTTATTAAAATAATGGACTGATATTGGTTGGAGAACCACTAAAACCCTGAAGCACTGGATAGCTACTTTCTAGTCCTAGAAAAGGACCTCACAGTAGTCCACACCCATAGCCCCTTCCGGGCTCAAACGTCGGACCTTCACGCTACATCGCAAGTTGACAGAAGTAAAGAAATGGGAACCACTGAATTCCGATCCATTGGCTTCAGTAGCACCTCGCCATTTCACTCTCTTCTCTGTACTCTTTCCAGCCTGGTTCCACGACTGCGCACAAGCTTTCATTTCTTCCTCACACCATCTCCTCCTCCCATCACCCTAGTCTCGGACGCCCAACTGGTCGTTTCCCATTTAGGTTCCACTCGTTGCTCTGGCCTGACCTGGCGCGTGATGTTCTCAATCGGTCTTCTCAGTGTATGCCCAATCCATTTCCATTTTATTCTGCATATTTGTTGGGGATGGCTTATTGGTCGGTTCGTTGCCAGCCAGCCAGAGTTCCTTGTTGCTTATTCTTATTATTCTGGCCATCCGATCTTGAGTACCGAGCCAGCGTAGGTGGCAGCGGTTGATTTATGTCTTCAGTCTGTAGCATGCTGCCTGTAAAAACTTAGAGGTCCTCGGTTAAATCCCTGGTGGGGCGAGGCCAAGGGTGCACACTTCTGGTTCGTCCCATACTAGGACGGGACAGTTGTTCCGTGTTCTCAGGTTTCCAATAGTTCTCTGACTTATTTCAGTTCATGAGGACTGCCATTTTGAAATCAATAAATCTTAACAAACTTTCAAACTGAGATCATTTTAATTTACACCTTAAGAAAATTGTATCGGCTTCAGAACTGATTTAATAAATGAATCTGAATATTCAGCTTGAAGATACAAGATTTTGAGGCGACAAAGTTATAAAGAATTGTATTACATTTAATAACTGGGTTGACCTGTCAACATAGTTATTTCGTTGTGAATGAATACACTTTAAACAAACACTGAGCAAATAAATATCGTGCTTTATCAACGACTTCGTTGTGAAATATATTTTTTCTCTTGACTCATTTGTGTCATATACTAGGTTCTTATAAAAAAATGTTGCTTCCGTTCTCTCAATAATTTATGAGGATGTATTTTGTTAGAGGAGCTGACAGTCTTTTATAATTCAGAGCGATTTATGTCTACGCTTGAAAAGAAATTAGTTAAGATTTTGAAATCACTGGCTACTATTCGACTGTTTCTTGAAAATCCATTGGTGGAAATCAAGGATATATCTCATGATGTTCAACTTGGGAACCTTACACTAAAAATATGAGTCTTTTTTGTCAATCCTAGCTTTACAGCGGCTAAGTAACCTCGAATGAAGGTGAAAATGATTCATGAATTTGGGCTTTCTATAAAGACGAAATTTCATACACACTGACCGTAATTTCATAATATGGTCTCGAAAGCCTCATAAAAGTTTGGTTGATATATCAATGAAATACTTTGGCGGGTAGTGGCTAGCAGTAGAATCCAGGATGCGCATTTCTTCCTGTTTGGGACTTGTCAGCTGGATGCACCTACCTCCCAGTGAGTGATGTTGTTCCCACCGGTATTTGGACTTGGGAGCGATCGCTTCAAACGCCAGAGCGTTATCCACTACGCCACCGAGCCACGATAGCCACTTCTTGTACAACGGGTATGGTTTAAGTGCTATTGCTTGCATGAAAACCGTTGTTGATTGGACCGAATTGATCAATCTCTGTTGATATGTGGGCTCCTGTCTAGATGCCTCGATATTGTCTGTGTTTTAATCATGTATAGTAATGATGGGCAGTGGCTAGCAGTGGATTCCAGACAGCGCATTTTAAGACACAGGCAATATCAAGGCATCCAGACAGGAGTCCATGTGCTAACAGAGATTGTTCAATTCGGTCCAATCAACGACGGTGTAATACAATCAATAACACTAGTGAAATACTTTGTCCATCTACGAAATCTGAATAACGTGATGAACAATGAATTTGATACCGAAGCTTGTGATGATAAATCCAAATTTTATTGAAAACAGCAGTGTACTATGACACATCTATATCTGATACGTGAATACTGTATACAACGATATATATTTTAGATTGTACAACTAGCTATTATAAAATATCACTAAGTTATATGTAAGCAGTGCAATCATACTTTCATCTTTTTTTTAACTGTCTTTGTACACTTGGACGAAACGAATTTAAGTCATGGGATAAAGCGAATTGAAACTCAAGAATTACTTTGATAAAATGATGGTATTCTTTCTTTCCTTAAGGACGATCAATTTGTGAGTGATTTACGAATTGCATCCTCCACGTTAACAGTTCTAAAGCTTGAGTATTTTTTCAGCTGCCCATCTAGGGCGTTATCTAGGTTTTCATTGGAAGCCAGGCATCAGTAAAGAACACAACATGTGATTTCTGACACACAAATGTGATTAACTACCAAAATATATTGGGGACAACCTGAGTAGTGAGAAACCATTCAGGATGACGTGTAATTTTCGCCAGGCAGATCACAACTACCTAAACGCCTTATAACCATCTGGCTCTTTGGGGCCAAACTCATCACTGATGTACCGTGAAACATTCAGCTCATAGAGCTGAATTAGTTCAGATCACCTGAGCCTACCTATTTGACCTTTTTGAATCGGTTGAGATCAATGTAATCTGGACGTTAAAGTTTAAAGGTCACCATGAGTGGTTTCAGACTACTCAGCTTGTTCATTATTATATTTCTTCCTTTTCTGTTTACTTGCCTTCATGAAACTTATGTCGATGTTTGTTTTTCATCTCGATATTATTCAAGGTATAATTCTACTCCTAAGTAATTCACATGCTGTGACTTGATTATGTTTAAAGCATGCATTCACTGAATAATCTATATTTCCTTCTTCCTTATTTTCTACGCAGTGAATGCATATTATGCCTACTGCACTCTCTGGTCTCACTTTGTTTCCTTTACATTTTTAGCCTTTTGTATGACAAGCGACAGCTGGAAATACTCAATGAATACAAGTACGTTTTTTCTTTGATATATGCTACATAGTGTTATAGTGTAATGTTAAATGGTAGTCCCTTTTCCGTTTACTCCCTTTTTTTACACACATACACTCTCTTTCTGTCTTTCACTCATTCTCATCAGCTGAAGCTGTTTTTATCTTCTCTTTCTATCATAATTCAAGTTTGCTTTTCCTCTTTTGTTTTCAACCTGTTTTTGGAGGTTCTGTTATTGTTTTAAACTCGTGTTTGCTAGGATATGTATATGTCCTACCCAGTTTCTGATGTAGACAGTTTATGATAAGACATTTGAATTTTGACAATTTGTCTTCAGAAATCTAATGTATTGCATAACTAAGTAGGACGAGAGAGAGAGAAATAGAAGAAATATTTAAGGGAATAGTACGAGTTAGAGATAGAAAAAAGGTAGGATGAAAGAAAGTTTCGGAGAACAAAGGAGAGAGAAAAGTCATCTTTATAGTAACTGATTGAAGTCAACTTATCGATTTTGTCCCATACCTACTGGTTTTGTACGAAAAGTAGAAGTAAGATAAAAGGAAACGGAATGCATGACAATTTTAAAAGAAGTTGATGTCGGGAATTATAACATTATTTATTTTAGGGGAGAATAAATTATGAAAGTAAGAATTCATGCAGGGAATACATGTTTTGATTCATTTACTCTTTATGCTTTAACAAGAACGAACCAGGTTGTCATTTGAACAGCCCACTTGCGATAACATTACTGACTGCATTACACTTCTGAGAAGTGTCATCAGCGTCCACGGTGTTGTAATTGTATCCACTATCAACCAGCATGAAGTGTACTCCAAGCAGAAGTTTCTTTCTATTGCTGTTCATAACTCAGTGCCAAGCGATTGGTTATTCAGTTTCACAAAAGGTAGACAACTAACATTCTCCAGTAATGACAATGGTCTCTAGGCTTGATAAGCAATTATGAAAAGAAGTTATTTAACATTGGAGAAAATGATATTATATTAACATATGAATTACTGCCAGTGGACACTCTCGATAAATTTGTCTCAACTTACTATTTTTTAAACAAAAATATGAGATATAGCCTAAAAATAATAAATGATTTACCTTTAGTTACTCCTCCCTGTTTAATAATGCGCTAGATACCTGTTTCTTTTTCCAAACTCTAAGCAAATTGACAGTTATTAATTACTCTCCCAATGTTTTTCGTCATTTTGAATTAAGAGTAGAAACTTTCAATAAAGTAGTTAGATTGGCATCAGCAGAAACCTGCAAGTTTTCATTTGTAGATCCACAAGTGATAGCTACTTCGTTTTATGTCTATTTGTCAAAGAATAAGATATCTTGGAATAACTTTCATCGCAGACTTGTAGATTTTAGTGAAATGCATGCAAAACTATTCTGTTTCATATGGAGACTTTTGAACGGTTTTACAGAAATGAGACGTTTACCTCTTCCAATACTTATACAACTAACAGATTATTGGGAGTTTCGTCCACTGGGCTTATTTTTCACTTTTCAGGTTCTGCTCCTAGTTTCATAGCTGGTTCCAATTACTTTACCTTGGAAAAGCAAAAGATTATTCGTCCTAAAGTAAACGTAAATCATAGTTTGGTACTGAAACCTGCAACAGATTTCCGGGTTGTATTTAGTGTGTTATTACTCTCTTGCTGCTTATTCTGGAGCTAAGGTCAATTACTTTAGGCATTTGACCTTCAGTCAGTGAGTCATAGGTGTAATTGCAACTCCACCTACTGAAGTTTAGGCAGTTAGGTAGTATCATTAGCCCTCTCGCAATACGTGTGGTTCACTGCCTATTGTACACCAGTGAAGATGGTTGCTGAGTACATTTCGATGATATTTTATACCAATTTCGTAAGAAACAGTTGGCTATTTGGAATGACTACTGTCGTATTGCTCAAAACATGTTGTCTTTTATATTTACGGTATGCGTACTAACCCACTAAATTCAACATCACTTTCATTAGCCTGAGATCCTGTTATCCAGCATTCACATCACTGCTAAGCTCGAGTTGATTCCATATAGTGTATTTCATAGACTTTATTCTAAGAAATTTTCCACAAGATTCAACCTAGAGTGAGAATGATACAGCAATATTCATAAACTTGGCCGAAATAACAGAATCGTCTTGATTGTATTGTGTTCTCTGAGCTGACTAAACAACTCAGCTCAGGGCTACAGGTATTCTCCACCATTTCATAACGGAAACGCTCATCCATTATTTAGGTCATTGTGAATGTCCTCATCATTTCGATTTGGGCAAAAGTTACTTCTCATTGACCAACGAGGTGACTTCAGTTAGTGGCACAATAATTTCACTTCTTATCAGCAAGGACTCTTGGTGACATAGCTAAGAATCAGTCACAGTGGCGCAGTTGTATTTATTCCTTGACATCTTCTAGACCTTCAGTATTCACATTAACTTTTATTCTCATATTGTTTAGTCTGTCACAATACTTTGTCATCTTGGATATCACCCTTTTTCTAACCATCTGTACTTTGTGTATTCCTGAAAAGTGTAGCAATATTTGAGAGGTTCTACGTTGATTTTAGCAGTCAGTCATCTTTTCCTGTAAGGTATTTATTCACTTTTGTTAAAAAGCACCTATCCGTCGTGACAACTTCTCTGTTACAAGAATTTAAAGGTTTTAAACGTTTCAACTTGATGGTGTGTCAATCCAAATAATTTCAAACTGAACTGGAGTCAATTATGACACTCTGGTTGGTTGTGGCTAGCGGAAAAATTCAGGACGCACGTTTCGTCCTGTTTGGGACTCGTTGGCTGGATGTACTTGCACCCCAGTCTGATGTTGTTCCCACTGAGACTCGAACCTCGTATCCATCGCTTCACATGCCAAGGTGTTGTCCACTATAGCACGGAGGAACGATAGCCACTTCTTTTACAACGGGTATTAGTTATTACTATCTACTGATATATTTGTAATTCTCCTTTGTTTTATCGGATCGAATTGTTCGACCTCTATTGGCATATGGGCTCCTATATGGATGCCTGGATATTGCTTGAATGTTATCTATGGTAACTTGGTTGGTTGTGGTTAGCGGTAGAGTCCGGGATGCGCGTCTTATCCTATTTGGGACTCGCCAGATGGATTTACCTGCATCCCAGTGATTTTGGTCCCACTGAGACTCAAACCTCCGTGGCACGTCCTGGATTCTCCTGTTAGCCACTACCAACCAAATTACCATGATTCATATTCAGGCAATATTGAGACATCTAAGTAGGAGACCATATTCCAATACAGGTAGAATAGTTCGACCTAATAAAACAACGCAGAATTAAAAATATATCAATAAATAGTTATGAACTGGAGTTATTGAATTTTATTGAACACTAGGTAAGTTTATTATCTCAAGAACTATTCCATGTGCCAGAAAAAAGGATTCTTTTTCCGGTGAGCAGAAATGAGTTGTCAAATATAGACTCATATAATGGTCAACTCATAAATGTGTAGATGAATGGAATAAGAAAATAAATAGTGAAGAAAACAGTCTGAAAAACTCATAAGGTATACTTCTGTGGTTTACTTTTTCATGAAAAGTGTTTTTTATACTTTAGTTACAAAATAGTAGCTTATAAAAGAATGAGAGACATAAAACTAAGTCAGGCATAAGTGTACAAGTATACCAATCTACAGGTAAGGAAAAAAAATAGGTAGTGGTAGCAGTGTTAGTAGAAAAATAAATAAATAAATAAATTGAAAAGTGATTTCGATATGTAGGTATACATATTTATTCATTTCTAGTAGTGAATTGAACACTTCAATGCTATATGAGTCATTTGATGAGAGTGAAGTAAAAAATGCGGAAGAAAGAATAACAATTTCAGTAAAGCACAAATTAATTTTACTTCTATATATATTTTATATTTTTCCTGTCAGAGTAGTAGAGTGTAAGTGGTCAAAGAGTGTTTTTATTTATGGATGTATAGTACAGAGATGTATTTGTGTTCAATCACTCACACTAGTCCAAAATGTATCCATGTATGACACTTCAAATGATGATTGATAACATTTTCTGTTAAAAAAAAAACAAGGAATGAATAAACGAAATAAACACCAAAAAATAAACACAGAGGAATGAAGAGACAAGTGAAAGCAAAGAAAAATATCTAGTTGAGGTTATTCATTTCACTAAATCATTATTAAATTTATTAAAGGAAGTGGTAGATTCAGTAGGAATGAACAGTGAGTGGTAAGGACAATGTAGTGAATTAAAGTTTCATAAATTGAGGTGATTTGGTTAGTCAAATCTAAAATATGAAAATCCTCACGTTTGCACCTTGTCACATTGAACAAAATTTTGTTAGTCAAGCAGTTGGATCAGTCTTTCTAGACTGTCAATTTTCCGTATTTATGTAATCACATAATTATGCATTGACGAAAGAGAGTCGGAGAGAGAGAGAGAGAGAGACAGATACATGCTGAAATATCCGTTGATAATGCTCTTCAACAACAGGCAGCAATCATCACTAACGGGAGAGACCTAATGGAAGTAGTCTGCTTCAGCTACCTAGGCAGCATCGTTTCAAGTACAGGCGGCACAGACGAGGATGTCAAGACTAGGATCAGAAAGAGATCAAGACAGGCATTCATTAGTTTGAAATCAGTGTGGAGATCCACTTCACTCAACCCGAAAAACAGGATTCGGATTTCCAGTACCAACGTCAAGTCAGCGCTTATATATGGTTCGGAAACTTGGCGCGTCACGAAAAGCATTTCCAACAGACTACACTCATCCATCAACAGCTACCTTGGCTGGCTTGATACTGAAGATCAGATGGCCAGAAAGAAGAAGCAACAAGGAACTCTGGGAACGAACCAACCTAGAACCCATCCCCCAACACATATGCAGAAGAAAGTGGAGATGGATTGGGCATACACGGCGAAGACCGATTAGGGACACCACACGCCAGGCCAGGCCTTCGATTGGAATCCAAAGGGGGAACGACGAGTTAGTCGTCCGATGCGAGGGTGACATG